AAAATTTATAGCCATTGTCTTTGCTGAGATTGTTATACTTGTACTGTCCCTTTGAAGCAAATTGTCTATCAAAGCATAATTGACTACAGATGTATCACAAATTTGTGTAACTTGTCAGATCAAAATTTGACCTGACTTTAATTCAGTTTGCTTTCTTTTTAGTTGTGTGTGTGTCTATATATATACATATACATACATATATACATACACACATATACATACAGATACATATAGATATATATATATATATATTTGGCTAACCCGTCACTCTCAAATTTTGTTAGTATAATCTTTTTCACGTCGTATTCATTTAAATCGGGTGACTTGATTCTAATTAGGGTTATATCTAAACTAAAAGATATACACCTAACTTATCACACCCCAAATTTGGAAATCTTTTGGCCAGATTTGAGTTACAATGATGCACCCATGATCTTTTTCCCCTCAAACGTTAAGGCATCTGGAAGAATTTAGAAGTTAAATTTTGGAATTCAAGTTAGATTCAAAGTTTTGTTAATTTCTATTTTACTTTTTGTTTGTTATTAAGTTGCTTAGTCACTTTTATTAAATATAATTTATTTCATATTAGTTGTTTTAGGTTTTGTGTATTAATTTGATAATTTCTATTTGTGTTTTTTCTTATTCACCAAAATTTATAGGTTATTTGTTGGATACTTCTGTTTTTATATTGAGTTGAGAAAAATTAAAATTGCATTCAGTCATTTTTAAAATGTTCATATTCTTTCATTGAAAGTGGGGATTATTATTCTTCTTCAACAGATATCCGTGCATCAAATATTCTCATTGCTTAAATTTTTAAGGTTCATTTGGCTCATGAATTGGATGAAATGGGTTGACTCATTTTCAGATTATTAATCTTGGGTTGAGTCATTCTCAAATTAATAATCCAAGTTATCTAGTGTTTAGTTGGTTTTAGGTTGTCTAGGATATATTAGGAAATAATCATATCCTGTGTTTGGTTAGAGATTGGATGAGATAGAATTACTATTATAATGACTAAATTACCCCTTAATTTGTAGGATCATTTTAGTAAAATAATTTAATAATTTATAACTTGTATTAAAATAAAGTAATTTTAAACTTTAGAATTATAAAGTAAATCAAGGGTTTGATATATAAAAATTTGCATTCACTCATACTTAGCCCATTCAGCCCCTTAAAAATTGGTTTTAACCTAACTTTTTTAATCTAAATTTGCAATTCAATTCAATAGTGGGCTGAGTTTTGGCTTAATTAGAGTTAAATAGAACAAAATCCAACCCATTTAAGAGTTTTAAATGAGCCAAACTCAAGCCAATATAGAAAAATTTTCTTTTGGCTAAGTTTGAACTTATTGAAACCCCTGTTTGCAAAGCCCAATTGATAATGTTATCTATTTATATAGAATTCAGTTGAGAAAATAAGGTTTGTGAGGGCAATTTAGTCCAGTGACAATAGAGTCCGTTTATTATGATGTAAGTAGGGGCAAATTAATCAAAAAATTTTGATTAATTAATAGGGATAAATTTGTCAAAAATTTAAAATAATGAATAGCGGCAAATTGGTCAAAAATTTTAATATAATTAGTAGGGGCAAATTAGTTTGTTTATTATCATATTATTATGTGAGAGCATGGTTGTGTAATATTCAGTATGAATTTGTATCATTCGTAAAGACAAATTAGTCCAAATATTGTTACGTTGGTAGTAGGGGCAAATTAGTAAAAAATTTTAAATTAATTAGTAGGGCAAATTAGTCCATTTATATTGTATTATCATATAAGAGTAAGGTTATATAATTATGAAAGTATAAATTTATATTATTTGTAAAGATAAATTAATCTAAAATTTCATCATCACATCTTTTAGTCATCTCGGGATGACTAATATCACCTCTCTCATGGGATTATTTTATTCAATGAATAGAGAATTAATTCACTTAGTTGGGATATGTTATCTAATGTGTAAAATGTAACCAAACATGGAATGACACGGTGATTACTCTAATCCTGTGTCATCCCACGAATCAAACGGACTCTTAATGGTTTGATAGTTTCTAAATTATGTGACTCTACACTTGGTATTAGAGTTCAAGAATTCAAATCTTATACTTGATTTATCCACTTGTGATAATAATTCCAAAGTAAATGAAATAACATAATAGTTATTTTTGGATAAGAAGATTGTAGTATGAGTTTTTACTAATACTATATTTATTTATTTATTTTTACTTCTTTCCTCATTTCAAAGGATACGAACCAAGGTATCCAACAAATATTGATGCACTATCATTTTTTCCTCTCTCTCTCTCTCTCAATTTCTTCCCCTTTCTTTATGCATTTGATGGGATACGTTAAGTAAATGAAGAAAAAAGAAAAATATTAAAAAGAGAAGAGTAATCAATCAAACAAAAGCTTTTATTCCGATCCCCTAGCTAAAGAGGCCAAGAAACGTAAAGTGTACAAATACAAAAGGATGTAGAAGAGACGAACGGCGCAGTGTCTGTGCTTTCCCGATAAGCCCGGTGAGCTGCCCAAATCCAGATATGACCTTACCTTAATCCTTCGGGCAGCGCTTTTTGAGCTTCGGGTCCTCCTCGAGTCACGCCCCATCCTGCCGCTCACCTTACCGCTTCAATTCTTTCTTAATCACCACTCCTAATCAACCTTAACATCCAAATAATAATAATAATAATAATAATAACACTAAACATAATAATAATAATAACACTAAACAAACAAGTAAATAAAGAAAAAACAATGGCCAAAAAAGCCTTAATTTAATAGTTAAAATTGAGAGTTCAGCATTTAGCCTTGGTTTCAATCCCCTTCCCTCCTCTCAACTCCTTAAATTTCACTTCTTTCTTGCTTAAAAAACACCCTCAAAACAAGCATTGTACATTAAAAAAAAAATAGGAAAATGAAGTTTTGTAAATGTCAAAATTGAGTTTTTGTTAGTGATAGTTTTGATATGTTACGCTTCCACATGGACAATTACACCATAAAATGCATATATTAATACAATAGACACAAACAATAAATGTAAATACTAAGATAAAAATATATAAAAATATTTTAATTTTTAAGAATGCAAATGATAAAATAGTAGTCGCATTTTCATGTTTTAGAATCTACATAATTTGTTTATTGATTATGTCCATTATGTTCGATCATATATTTTAGGGTGCAATTGTCACTAACAAATGCATTGATTTTCGGTTTTGCAAGGTGGTGAGGGAATTTTAGGATCTTTTTGTTGGCTTTGGGGTTTGCTCAGTTAAGAAGCAAGGAAACAAGACCACTGGAATTTCGGGCAACAGATCAACACAAATGCAGTAGAAATTTATTTTATTTTATTTTTTCCTTTTGAACTTCATAACTTTTCTATTGACCTCCCCTTCTTCTGCTTCTTCTTCTTCTTCTTCTTCGCCTATCTTGCCAGCCATTTACGATATCTCATTTTCTTCAGCTTTTCAGTCTTCAGCTATAGTCAATGGCAGTAGTACTTTTTGGTCCCATTTCACTTCTTTAGAAGCAAGTTTGGACAGGACAGATGATGGGTTTTCAAGAAACCTGAACTTCTCTTGCATAATTTACGTGCTAATGTCAGTTAATTCGTTACAGCAAAGAAAAGATGTACGAAAGAAATCTTAAAGCCTGATCAATGATATCTGAACATGTATGGAGATTTGTTCTTGACTTGTAGTTTCTACCACCCTCTAATTGCTCATTTTGTTTTTCTTTTTGGTACATTTTAGGAGCTAGCCCTGGATCTGCCAAGAATAAGCCCTTCAATGAGATCACAAGTCACAGATCCAACTGTAGTAGATTTGTATTTTGTCGTCTAATTGCATGATTTGCATCTTCTCAAGAGACAACCAAGATTGAAAACATATTTTATTACTCTACCATTCAATATTAAACAGACCAGTCAAAATAAATGTTTCAAATTTATTTGTATTTTATTACAACTACTTTAGTGATACTAGTTTATTGACCATTTATGCCTTTGGGATTTATCTCTCATCTTCATTTCATTCAGTGTGCAATTTCCACATTTTCAGGCTCATTAGCCATAGCCAAGTTTTAGATACGCCTGCAGCAATTAGCAGTAAAGCACTTTCCTCACATATCAGGACTTGACAGCAAATTAATAGCGATTACACCTTCTTCCATATTGCCTTTTCCTCATCAACCTAGAACAAAAACAAACACAGCAAAATCTGAGATAGAACAAGCTATTAGCCACAACCACATACAGATCAAAGGTCAGTAATCTGTAATATGTATGTATGTATACAGCCTATATGAAAAAGAGATGCAGACTTTTCATCAGTACTTCTGTAGCTTTTCTTCTTAGCAGATGATGAATTATAGAGGTGGATGGTGCCAGTACTCTAGGAGTACAACCAACACTACTGGCTACTTTATGGTGTGTTTGTGTTATGTGTACTAAAAAGTAGTGTTGTACATTTCTCAGCATCTGATGCTTGCTCAACATCTTTCTTTTCTTGTTTCTTTTTTTTTTCTTTATATTTTTTAAATTTTAGAATTGGTTTTTGATTTAGTCTTTCTTTTTTATTTTTTTTTGTGGTTATAAGTTATAACTTGCAATTTTGCTGCTGATTTTTTTAGGGGTAAGGATGCGACTTGAGAGAGGATTCCGTCTGAGCAGACTCACAGGCTTTTATTTGCTTTAGAAAACACTACTGCAAAAAGCTTCAAACAACAGAAAGAGAGAAAGAAAGAGAGTAAGAAAGAGAGAAAGAAGTCCCCTTTGCTTTTGCCATCCTTTCCTTTCCTTTCCTCTCTTCTCTTCCTCTGACATTACTAGCAGCCTGGCCTGTCTGTAACTGGAACGTGATATTTCATACCGCAAAAATAGCCTTTTTCAACACACACTCACACACTATACGTATTTTTTCTTTTTCTTATATATATATATATATACACACAGAGATAAATGTGTGATGTGTGTATTTATCTTTACAAAAGCCAAAGTACTCAGGGTAATTGTCATCAATGCAAAGTACACTCTCAACCACACACACAAATAGATACAAGCCCCCCCCCTCCCTTCTTCCCCACCAACCTGTCCACTCACTCCCACAGTTTTTTCTTTCCATGACTTAACCTTGGGTTTGATTTTCCATTTTTCCTGCTCCCCAGATTTCATCAGGCCTCTCTTCTATTCGTGTTGTTTTATTTATTTATTCTTTTGTTTACTCTCTCTCCTTCCTCTCCTCAAAACCTGCTGGTTAAATCTTGAAAAGGGCAGCTTGCATCTTGGGTTTCTTTTTTCGCTCTGCAAGTTTAATTTATCTTGGTTTGGAAAGGTATGAAAGTGGCATGGAGATGGAGGAGATGCAAACCCCAGGGTGTAAATTTCCGAGGATCCGCAGCAGAAGTGGTAGGATTAATGATGACGCAGCCAAGATAGGGCATAAAGGGGATGACCAGTGCAAGCCTGAGGAAGACGAAGCAGATGGGGAGGAGGAGGTCAAGAGGGCCAACGTCAATGGCAGTGCCAGAGGAGGAGGAGGTGCTGTTGGGGTGGGGGGACTGGATATAACTGCTTCGAGTGGTCTAGGTAGGCTTTGTGGGTGGCCTTCTTCTCGGATTGTTAGGGTTTCACGGGCATCCGGTGGAAAAGATCGGCATAGCAAAGTTTGGACTACGAAAGGACTAAGAGACCGGCGTGTTCGTTTGTCAGTGACCACTGCAATACAATTCTATGATCTGCAGGATAGACTGGGTTATGATCAGCCCAGCAAGGCCGTAGAGTGGCTGCTTAAGGCTGCAGCCAGCTCTATCGCGGAGCTGCCCTCGATTAATACAGCATTTCCAGACACTCCTCAGCAGCTCAGTGATGAAAAGAGGTCAAGTGCAGGTACTCATGAGCACGGCTTTGATTCTGCAGAAGTGGACATGGAAGGTGAACTCAATTACCAGCAACAGCAGCAGCAACAGCAGCAGCTTGGGGCTTTCTCTAAATCTGCTTGTAGTAGCACTTCTGAGACCAGTAAGGGTTCAGGATTGTCGCTTTCCCGGTCTGAAAGCCGAATTAAAGCTCGAGAGAGGGCCAGGGAAAGAGCAGCTGAGAAGGAGAAAGAGAAAGAGAAGGAAGAATCTTCTCGTGTAGCCCATCAGCCACACCTGAATGTGAACCCTATTTCTGAAAATTCTTCTTTCACTCAGCTATTGACTGCTGGGATGAGTAATTCTGCTAATGTTAGCAACACTAGCAGCAACAACAACACAACTGGTAGTCCTACAGGCGGTTCAATTCATCAAAACCCTGGCAGCGGTGGCGGCAGCGGCAGCGGTAGCGGCGGCAGCAATGCCGGCGGTAATGGTAATAATGGCACTGCAAATGAGTCTAATTTTTTCCACAAATCATCATCCAGACATTGGTCTTCTTCTACTCCTATGGACTACTTTGCCACAGGGCTTTTAGGCCTGTCCTCTTCTTCCCGTGCTATACATCAACCATCTGCAAGCTTTTTGGGGCAAATCCAGCTGGGTAATCCTCTTCATCAGTCCCTGACGTCTGTATCCTCCCCGCTGTTTACCATCACAGCTGACCACCATCACCACCACAGCCACCACACGGACCTTCCGCATTTCTCGTTTGTACCGGACCACCTCGTCCCGGTTGTGACAGCTGCCGGTGGGAATGGGAATAGCCATAGTAATCATACTGGTAACGGTAATGGCAGTAACAGTGATTACAATCTCAACTTTACCATTTCTTCTCCATCTTCTTCCGGCCTTGCTTTCAATAGGGGGACCCTTCAGTCCAATTCTTCTTCTCCGCCGTCTCTGTTACCTCACGTCCAGAGGTTTTCGCCCATAGACGGACCATCATCGGCTTTCTTCAGCAGCACAACCGCATCTCCACCTAATGCTGCTGTTGCACCTGTGGAGAACCACCACCACCACCACCACCACTTTCTCCCCGGATTCGATGCCCGCTTGCAGCTTTGCTACGGCGACGGTACCCGCCATTCTGACCACAAGTCAAAAGGAAAAAACTGAGTCATCGTCCCACCTTCTATCCTGGTAACTACATTTCTGATTCTTGGAGTTCAATGTTATATATTCTGTACATTTTAGTTTGTTTATAGCCTCCTACTGCACGAGTTCTTGAGGGTTTTCCGCTATGCTTTAGCCAAAGCAAATTGTTTGGGTTCTTTTCGGATCTACGTGTTATTGTACCATGAATGATTTTTTCGATTTCTTGGTTTCATAAAAAGCGTAACTATTGGGCAGTATCTTTTATCAGCGCCATCTGGTGTGTTTGTCTTAATTTTGTGGCACATGCATGGATACCTGCGACCTGGGGAACGGCTTGTTGTCTCTGGCTTAGTTATCCTCTTTGGTTCCCTGCTTTCTAGCATGTCTATGGCTTGGCCAGGTGTTAGTCTTTCAGAGAAAGAAGTGCACTCGTTGCTTTCTAGCATGTCTTTGGCTAGCCCAGGTGTTAGTCTTTGAGAGAGAAGTGCACTTTAAGAAATGGAGGAGCTCAGAACCACACTCTTTTCCTTTTGTTTCCTAGATTCCTATTTGTTTTTTTTTTCCTTCTTTCTGCCTTGACCTGCCCCCACAAAAGTAAAAGTATAACTGTTAGAACAGGTGTCAATTGGTTGGCAGCCAATCCAAGATTTGTCGGATCTCTTACTATATGGCATTGTATTGCTTGAATGCATCTTTTCTGTGTTATATATAATGCAATGGTCTATCCATGCACGTTGGGAGTGCTTTCCGGATAGTGTTTATTAGCTGGATGCCTTTGGAGTTTCAACTAGAATTTTGTGCATAAAGTTTTTGTTTTTCAAGTCCAAGGTCCAAACTTGCATTGTCAGTACTGATACTTTAGTGGGTTTTTGAAGTTAAAGGGCTAGACTTTCAGAACTCTATAGAGGCCATTAAATGGGATTTCAAGTCAAAGCAAGAAGATAGGAAGGGTAGGCTGATATTGCTAAGCATTCTGTTTTTCTTCATTAACACGGTAGTTTGCATTTTGGACTAATGACTTGAGCAAAGGGAAATAAATATTTGCGAGCTTCATATTTTGTGTGAGATTTTGAGATTTTAGTGAAATGAACTATCCCATTTGTAGCATGTTCCAAAAATTCTCCGACCCTGTTTACTGAGTGCTACATGGTTTCCTCTTGAGTTATGCATTGATATGTGATCAAGCTGTTTTAGAGGGGCTAAGATTGCATTCCTTTATCCTCTAGTGGAAAATGTTTAGCTGAAAAATCCCATGAAGATCAAATAATTCAACTGAAAGGCAATGGGTCTAAAACTGATACTAATAGCAATAGCCTTGTATCAAATACATGCCATCACATTGTGGATTACGCTTAGGGGCCTCTATATGCACATTTTTCTTTAAAAAAGTAAAAATAAAAATGTGATCGTTTTCAGACTTGTACCACAAAGTTTTTTCATTTTGTATGCTAAAACTTATATTTTTCTGTACGTATCTGCTTAATGTGTTTTGTCAATCATAAACTTGTACTTAATAAGCATTATTTGGTTTAATCTTTGACTCTTGGAGTTCTTGGAGGGCTTGAGGTTTAAGCTGATAAGTTTGGAATTTGGGAGGAGAGGATCAAGTTAAACACAACGCAAAAAAGAAAATTAGTGGACTACTGGAAGATTTTATTTGGTTATAGTATTTTTATGGTATGTTTTTAGGTTGCCACATGTCAGTTTACTGTGTAAGTATAAGTTTGACTTTACTGTTATTCATTATTAAGTTTTCAAATGCATGTGTAAAACCATTAAAATAACATTAATTAATTTAATGACAACCAATATGGATTATCTTTCAGATAAATAAATCTCCATCATTTCATTTACAAGAATCATATATCCTTCTCTGATACTCAATTGAGTGTTTTCCATTAATTATTAATTTATTTCTCCTAAACTTGGTAAGTTGGAAAGATTTTAATCCTTGAGATATGCAGCATAGTTGCAGTGACCTAGGATGGTAATCTGTACCCCGAAATTTTGATACTTCTACCTAACCATAACCTCTTAAGCTAATCCGCATGTTGAATTCTTGATTCTTTAGGCATATTACAAGAGTCTTTATGCAGCTTAGTACAAAGATAGATAATTTGTAATCAACCAACTCTATTGATCACAACGACCATAATTGCAACATGACATTGTAGAGACTAGCATATTTCAGGGACTAAAATTTTTATTACTAAGTCAATCATGTGTATACTGAGCACAATTACCATTTTATCAATTTTGGCTTTGTTTCTTTCCTTGTTGCTTTGAAAAGTAAGTGAGGGATACCAACAGCAGCCAGCCATTAGAAGTAAGAAGCACAAATCTCCAAATTTGATAGTGAGGAACCTTTCAAATCATTCATGAACAGAGAAACGGAAAGGAGATAAATAATTTCAAAGGTCCATATGCTTTTCACAAAAAGGATAAGTTTTCATAGCTTAGGGTAGCATTTGCATTCTTTGTTAAACTTTTGGGACTTAAAATGGGAGTATTAGTCCATCCCACACCACTCCCACTTAGAAGGAAAGTTTTCCACCCAAAAAAAAAAAAAAGAAGGTAGAACAGATTATACGATCAGTCTTCATGCATACCAGAATCAACTGTAGACAGCGAAGCCATACCAGACGTGTCATTTGGCATGAACTGCAAAATCAAGCCAGTCTAATGTCTTATTTATATTTTGAAAGGGAAAATCGTGTTCATAAAGGTTATAGAATGATTCAATATTAAGCATGTAAATACCATGTAACAGTGCAAGAAAACTGATTATAGTTAGAACTATGGTAGTAGCACACACTCAATTGACCCAACTTTGTATGGAAAATCATTCATCTAAATGTTGGCTCTAACAAGAGATTGATCTTCTCACTATAAATCTCCTAGGAGGTGCTAATGCATGGGTTTATCCAGGATGATGTGCTGAAGCGTACATATTAGAGAAGAATATTCAGATCGTTTTGAAGTTTCTCATATTTGTCTAAAATCACAAGCTATAAGTTTTTTCAAGAAGCAATTAAACCTTCATTCTTGTTAAAATTCTGAATCTCCCTGGTAGTTTTAAGAAGGCTTTAAAATGTGAATTATCAAGAATATTTTTCTGCTTAATCAGTTTCCTTAGCAAGTTTGTGCTTTTCATTAGATTTTTAGGCTTTTGGCCTCATATGCTGGTTAAATAGCATTTTGCAGCACTCTTGTAAACTTTCATCCATACTCCGGCAAGAATATTCTGAACTTTTTCCCTTTCACCTAGTATTGTAACAATACATCAACTTTTCCAGTAACTACATTCTTAGATTTCCTTTTGACCAAGACATACCTAGTAACTTACATGAAAGTGGCAAAGCCAAATTTCTTTTTAATACCAAGCAAGAAAAACATTTGTTACAGCAGTCTATATGATTTGTTAGTCGTTGTTACTTACGCCCAACTAAGTGTGTTTACTCCATTAAGATATTGTATTTAGAACTCTTTCGGTGTATTAAACTTTTCAGAGCAGGAGAATATGGCTCAACCTAGATAACAAAGTAGTGGAGCTTGATTATGAGTGAATACATAACATGAGGTCATTTGCTATCTATATCATTAAAGTTAATATCTAATCCAGCAATATTGACGCTTGAATTACTTAAATACAGTTTCAACCTTCTACAGCCTTCAAGGGCTCTTGATGATCTCACTCAATTATAGTATATTAATGTCAAGACTCTCTAATGGCTTTGACTTCATGACATTGATGATTCATTTTCATACTCCCGTTCTGTACAAATCAGTGAGGACAAAAAAAAATGTTTTATTCTTTTTGTTCAATCTCATAATTAAATCTCTTTGCTTATTTTTCATTTGCTATCTTCTGCCTCTAAGCACAATGACATTAATGCTGGCCCTCTTGCAAGCATTTTCTCTTCCCCAAATGTTTTTCTTACATCTATCTTGGTAATGACTTGCAGATTTTCCTGCTGGATGCATGGTATATTAATTTTGGGTAGTAATAAATGTCAACATCTATTGAGGGTTTTTTTTTGCCGGGGGGGGGGGGGGGGGGGGGGGATGGGGACCACACACACAATAACAATTTGGTTTATTTGTTGCTTTCTTTTGTCGTTACTGTCATAATTAGGCATGTCAATGGGTTGGATTTTACTCAAATCCAATCCAGATTCAATATACTTGGATATGGTTTGAATTTAATTTCTTAAATTTAGATCCTACCCAAATCCAAATCCTGTAAGAGAGTCATGGATTTGGGTAGGGTCTAGTTGTCCATGACCCATACCCAAATCCAAACACACACAAGTAAATTTATAAAATAATTTAATATTCTATGGGAATTAAATCAAATATAGTAAGACTTCATGATTGTTTTATTTTTTCAAACTAATTTTAGTTGTCATTGTAATTGTACAAACTTTTTTAGGATAAGGAGAAAAGTAAAGAAGAAAAAGTAACGGCAAACAAGTAAAAGATTGGATATGGGTATAGAATTTTGAAAATAAATAGCAGTAATTAATAATAATTCTTTTTTTAGATCATAATATTGCATTCAACTTTTTGAATATTAATTTTATTATTCAAAAGTAAAAATTGGATGGTATTTATATTATTTTTGAACTCTATATATTTTACTTTAGTATATTTAGAAAAATACAACGAATACCCATTGGATACCCAGATTCATGAGAGTTTGAGCCTGGATTTATTTTTTTAAACCCATAAGGGTTTGGGTCCAGGTCTGGATCTAACTAAATTTAATGGATCTAGATCTGGATCAAAGGAATCCAATTTAAACCCTACCTATTAATCTAACTAGTCATAATGATTTGCTTTTCCTTCAGAAAAACATGAAATAGTCAAACATCAGTACGTTTTCCCTGGTATTTCATTTGGTTTTGGTGTTATACGTGGACCCCTGACTCAGTCCTCGAATACAAATCAATTAACTATGAAATTGTGGAACGTTGAATGATTTATCATGTCTGTCCTAACAGTAGAGGAGTGGATGACAAAGTCTGACATACTTCCTCCTTAAGGTCCTCTTAGCCCTCCCAAACTTTTTGCATCTATGACTTTAGATAAATGCCATTTTGCAGTGTTCATTTTCCTAACTTTTTCTGTTCTTTTCTTTTTCAAAGTTTTACTTATGTGAACTTGGTTAATTTTGCATTGTAAATGAAGTTGGATGCAAAATACATGCATATATGCTATATCAAAACCTCATCAATAAACACATATATGCAACAGATGAAAGGGTGGAGTGGTTTCCATGCTTATGCTAAAAATGTCCAGTAACTGAACTAAAATTAAACAAAAAATTTATTTTGAACTAAAAAAGAATAAATTTCGAAACATAAAGTGAAGTTCATATTGGCTATAGCAGTGAAAAGTGGCACATTCTTGCACAGTATCTAACCTTAGAATCATGGACAGAAGTAAGGGGCTCTGGAACATGAAGAGAGAAGTGCATCAAATAACGCCTTTGCTATAATGATAATTGAAGAGCCACAAACTTCTGAAAACTCGAATGACATATTCGGTTGGAAAATCAAGCTCAAACTGTCCTCACTTGATCAACTTAGCTGAAGAGCTTGTATTAGTACCCACAAATCTTTTAAAAAGTTGAAGTGGTTTCAGTACATTAATGTCTGGTATAAACCATACTCACAATCCTTTTGAAGCAACCATTTTATGCAGTCATTATTTAGTGAATCTGGGAAAAGTTTCAACATGCATTCTTTCCAGAAGTTACCTTTCGATGAAAACCTAAGTTGTCAATAGTTCAAACTTTGTTTGCTAGTTCGTTTTACAATTTTTACTATTTTTGTATCATGCCTGGTGGGCAGTTCCCATCCTTCATTTAAGTATGTAATTAGATGGAACTGTCAAACATGGTTCTTCTTGATTTGTGTAACTACTGTGTACATGTAGCAGGTCACCCTTCTAGATAACTAGCTGCTTCACACGAAGTTATGACTGAGATAAGATGGTCAACACTCGTAAAATTGTGTTGATGTTTTAGAATAAGCTTGAATGTGTTTCCCCATGCATAACCTATTAAAGGTTTTTTATGCTTATGTATCCACTTACAATACATTTCTTAAACGCAATAGAGACACAAATAACCTTTTTTTTTTTTTTTAAAAAATCTGGAACCCCATTTTTTCATAAACTCAACAGAGACAGTTTTGCATTGCTAGCAGCTGAAGCTATGTTGACATTTCACCTGTTCATTTCTTTATCTAAGATTGGATGATAGGTCTATTTGATGCTAAGATTGGAGCTTGACTCTACCTGCTTGTTTAGAAACACAGTCCAATAAACAAAAGGAAGGAACATGACCATAGTGGGAATGTCAGCCTGAGTATATATATCAAATTATCATTCGCATTCTGCAATATAGGTTAACAAGGTACCTATTTAAGTTGGATTTGTTGGTAAGTTACCAACAAAAGCTGGATGGGATTGGTGGACTTGTTGCTAATTGTAGTTAATGAACTTTGATAGCTAATTCTTAAAGTGAAGGGGAACTCAAAATTGTTAGCTGCCACTCAACACTTTGACCTCATTCCCACAACTGCTTCATCATAACTCTTGCGACGAATCTTGTTCCATAAACCTTTATGTAGCATGTTCAGCTTTTAGGACCATAAATAATTTCTGTCCTTGATGAAATAGAGAGAGCTTCGGTTATATATATTAGCATTCTATGGGCATGCTTGGGAAATAAGAATTGTAGTTTCGGTTATACTAGTTACCACTGGATCAGAAGTAAACAAAACTATTATCTCTTGTTGCAGTTTTGCATCATGGAATGCTTTATGGCTGTTAATTTCTTTTATGTAGGTTAATTAGTTTTGCTTTTTTAGTATGACAACATCTTTACCATTTTGCATTGCTTCACTCAGCAGTACAAAGTTGCTTAATTGGCTTCTCCTGGTGCAGGTAACTGAAGATGGCATTCACCTGCAAGCCCAGACCAAAGCTTGCTTTCTGCCTCGGCCATTCATTATTGATTGTTATGATTCTGAAGTTTATATTCCTCATTATCAACTAAGTAATTATTGAGCTAGCACCCAAATATTTTGATATATTGGTGCATTGTTGCCAGGTTCTATGTGTTTGATGAGCTGAAATGTTGTTCTTGAGGTTGTTAGCTTAAAAAATATGTTTGGTTTGCTAGTTCTGCGTAGAAATTGTTCATGCTGTGATTTGCAATGACCAACCTTTTGAATCAATCAAATCAATAGGAGTTGAATCAGCTCCTAAAGTTCTTCAAAATACCTATTGTCCTTTCAACAAAGAGATGCATCCCCACTTCTCAATTGTTAAAATTTTATTACTATTGTAATACTCCGCATATCTTTGGCTCAATATAAATATATATTTTAAAAAATGCCTTTACTTGTATCTTAACTATGGCAAGGTGCTTCCAATGAGCTGATAAATAACTACATAATAGTTGCAGGTATATAGAAGAGAAAGTGGGAGATAGTTTGAATAGTGGAGTTATAGGAGGAAGTGGATACATACACCAACTTCAGCCTCTACCACTACTCTATGATACTTAGCAATAGGAGAATAACACGCTAAAGTTGACAAAGAAAAAGGCGGGAAGTTCCAATCTCATTTCAATTCTCAAAATCACTAATATTTCAAACATCATTTCACATACTTTTAGATCACATAGCCTAAGTTCTAATTAGGACTGTAAATGAATCGAGTCGAGTTTTGACTTAATTTTATTAAACTCGGACTCGACCTTGACGAACTGACAATTTTGAAGTTCGAGTTCGAAAAAAATAAAAATACTTATTTTATTTTATTTAAAAATAAATAAAATAATATTTTTTTCTTAATAAATAATAAAATATTAATAATAATATATGTAATTTTATTATTAAAATAATATGTATATATATATATATACACTTGAGCTTGCGAGAACTTAATATTTTGCACTTGAGTTTGATTCGGCCAACTCGAGCTCAAGTCGATCTTGACTCGAACCGCTCAAGAATGGTTCGATTCGTTTGCAACCCTAGTTCTGATACCATTAAATGTCACGCCTCGAATTCGAATCCCTGAACTAGATTTGCAACATGGCACGCTGTATGTTTGAGACCTTACTTCCATAAATACAAGGCATCATGATTATAACTTACAATTTCACTAAAATTTAAATTTTACAGATATCAATGAAATACATATACATCACTAAATTGCATCTACAAAATGCTTTGCTTTAAGTTTCTTGAATTTAAACATCTACCTATTTACCTCTCACTTATCTTCTAAATGTACACGAGTTGGTTTTCTTGATCTGCAAGAAAAAAAAATGAGATGTGGGTTGAGCGACGTACACCCAATAGATAGTACTTACTCCCCTGTCGGATCATGTAGTTATATACATACTATATACATTTGCAAATTTGATCACACCATACCATATGCATACATCAATTAAAAACATTTGTCATCTCATTTCATATATTTTATAAACATAATTCATTGAAGGAGAATGGCATGCACATAAGTGGCCTCCATCCGACGTAGCACTTAATTCCACAGGTTCTAGAGGTAGCCCCCGTCTAATATGGGATTAAAGAAAGGGTTAAAAATAGAAAACCTCCTATGGTATAACTATCATACAGAAAAGCCCTCTGTGATTTCATATCATATGTGTCATTACCTCATGATTTGAAATAAGGTAAATCATCGACGGAAATCGTTAAAACAGACGGAACTGAGTGAAAAGATGAAAATATCCTAATAATATAAGCAAAAAATAGCCGAAATAATTTAGCACTTTCATTCTTTCAAAACAAACGAAGTGAGAGAGAGAGAGAGAGAGAGAGAGAGAGCAACCTTTTTTTAGCCAATTTTCAGCAAAATTTTCGATTGTTATTTAAATCAAACAACAAGATCGATGGGAAATATGAGGAAGTGAAGATTTGCGACAAAAAATCGAAGAAAAATGGGTTCGTATATCATCCCTAGTCTATTTCGATCTGGGTTTTGGCGTATTTTGTGGAAGGGAAATTGTGATTTATTGATATCAGTGAGGCCATTATTTAACAAAGACAAGATTTTTGTTGTATTTACGGATGTTGTTAAGATATGGTTTTTGATTTATGCCCTCAATTTGCTATTTTGATTATTGATTGTTAGATTTGTTAGGGTTTTGTGTTTGGTTGACTATGGAAATGGAAAGCCTTAGAATCTGCTTTTTGGTAGAGATTCTTAGTTGACGAATTTGAATATATGGTTGTCTTTGAATATTACTCAACCTCTTAAATGTTTGTGTTTGAGTAGAAGTGTCATGAAACTTTCAATTTGTACTATCAAGTTATTTAATGAGCAGAAGTGTCATGAAACTACTGTCTTGCTATTATATTCATATCATTATCACAAGAAAAAGTAGATTAATATTGGTAGATAATCTGTTGTTATCTTAATATGGGGTTCATGAAGACATGTTGTAGTCAAATGTAGTCCCCAATCCCACCTATAATGAATTGTTTGTTTTGGTTCCGTTATGTTAGCTTTTTGTGTCATTGCGAAAGATAAATTACTAAAAAGTGAGAGCTTTATTGCTTCTCATGCAGCATCAGAGGAGAAATCCGAGGATAAAGTTAACATACACATGTATTTTGGTGGGAGATTCAGAGAAAAACCACGGCTCCACTACCCAGGAACCCACATGGCCATTTTCAAAGAAAGAGTTGAAGATTAGTTATCCATAGTAAACCTGTGCAGAATATTTAAAAAAGTAGATGAAGGAGCAACTAGAGTAATTGTGACGACCCCACCTCCCCTTAGGGTGTGAGGATCCGAAAATTTCCTTATTTTGTTTTATTTTTTCGAATACATTTTCTTTACTTTACTTTATTGCCTTAATTTTCTAGATATTTTTACAAAGTGAGTCAAGTTTTTAAATCATTTTCCTTGTATGAGTTAGTACATGTTAAGTTCGTAATGTATTATGCAAGTGGGACCCACTAGTGAGGTGTGTGCGTTAAATTTTTGAAGATTAGGAGGAGTTTTGTGTAAAGGGATATTATCTTATAAGGTGTTAAGGGATAATTAGAGGTTGGCTAGATATTTTAGCATTTGGAAGACAATAGGATGAGGATTAACCATTAGAGGACATTTGTCAACAAAGCTTTGGATTTTTGACTTTGACTCCAACCTTTCTTATCCTTTGATAAACCAAAAAAATTTGACCAAAACCTATCATTTTTTTTCTTCATTTGGCCGCCCCCATGAAGAGAAAAAAAAGGAAGAGAAAGGTCATCTTCAACCCCTAGTTCTTGCTTGAATCTTGAGTTTTCACCTTAATCTTGCAAATCACTCCATAAAAGTTGACACTTAGGGAGGATTAAGGGCTTTGGTGGAAAGATGTTGGAGAAAGAAGCACTTTGTTGCCATATCTTCATAGGGTTTCAAGGTAACTATATCAAGAAACCCTCTTTTCTTTTAATACTTGCATAAGAGTGAATTTAGAGCCTGATTTTGGTAGTTTTCATGAGAAATTTCATGGTTTGAGTGGTGATTCAAAAATTTCAGTTTTGATGGTGTTAAAGGTTTAGTATAGGATGATAGGACTTATGAAGAAGAATTCTAACTATAACTTGGTACTTGGATGGTGAATTTGTGGCTTTTAGACCACTATGCCTTGTTAACCCCTAGATCACTACTTATAAATGAGTTTTCACTTAAAACTAGGGTATTTTAAAGAACGAGTGATTTTTTTTCCCGAGTCGCTTGTTGAATGTTTTGATAAGAGTAAACGTTATTATATCACCTTACCATATCCTCGCCTCATTTGAAACCTTATTTTATCCCGTTTAAATTTGTATTTTTGACTTTAGCGTCAAAAGTTTTCTCTTGTGGTTTGAACAAGGATAGGTGATACTTTTGGACTAAAAGCTTGCACTTGGGGGTTCGACTACTGTGAGGACCCGAAAATTTTGCTTATTTTATTTATTTTATTGGCTCAAATAAGTATTTACTCATCCGATTTCTCCGATTATTATTTTCTAACCTTTTTAGGCCTAATTAAATATATCCATAGCTTAGTTATATTTTTAAAGTGATTTGTTTCGAAAATTAATTTCTGAAGGCTCGTTAAGTGAAAATAGTAAATACGCGACTGGAGTAAATAATCGATTTGAGAAATTACATATATTTTGAATTTATTTTATTTTCTTGAGTTATTAAAAATAATAATAATAATAATAATTTTATGTGAAAAATAATATAATTGTGCTAAACTATTAAATTACTTGGTTTTGTTTTACTAAATTAATATTTCTAAGGTAAAATATTTCATTGACTTAATAATTAATTCTTTGAATTCCAATAGCTAATTTTCATCGTTAATAATGTTAAGGGTTATAGGAACCTTAGTAATAAGAGGAGGTTGATAAATTGTAGACAAAATCGTTACAAGAACACTAAGTATACTTATGACGTTAAAATCTCGATAATCGAACTCCTGCGAGATTAGTGTATCATTAGATGTTTAAACTACTTTTGGGGTAAACTTTAGAAGTTGGTTAAAATTTAGGACTTAAATGGAAAAGTTGGAAGAGACGTGAAAAGACTAAAATAGCCTCCACACCCTCGGAAAACTACCATGCAACCACAAAACCACTCTCGGCCAACCATAAAAGACAACATTTCCATTCCTGTCGAATGCAATTTCTTTCTCCTTTCAACACTCAACCCTTCTCCATCCGCAAATCCTCTCCATTAGCTCACCTCAAACACAACCACTTCACTTCATACCCTTACCTCGTGATCATCGATTGAGAGGGAGAGAGCTGCAGCCTGCAACCGAGAGAAAAGAAAAGAAAGGAAGCGTGTGAGCTGCGAGTCTTCTGTTCTGTCCGTGAGCTTGAGGGAAGAGACAGTGCGTGAGCTGCTGCTGCACTCTCCACCTTCACTTCAACCAGCTACAATCCATCTCCAACCGCAACACCACCACACCTGCAACCACCGGCAACCAAGACAGCAGCCAATCATCCATCGCGTGCGTGAGTTAGCCGTGAGGAGAGTAAGACAACTTCAGCTTCTGCCGCGTGTGTAAGCTTCCAGTAGAGGTAATCTCTGGACTGAAACCAATAGATTATAGGTAGATTAAGCTGTATATGGACTTGCATGTGAGGTTGGAGTGTCCGGATGAGGAAAT